AAGAAGAAAAGAAAAAAAAGGGAAAAGGGGGGGGAAGGCCTTCAAAGGCCCTTTTGAATCGTAATTCTTGAATCGTAATTCTTGAGATCCGAAAGCTACGCCAAAGCCAAAGCGTGCGTGCGTGCGTCCGAGAGACGGCACCGATTATCGTCGTGGTCCGAATATATATATATATACCTTATATATACATACAAAAAAATATATATATAAAATAAATAAAACAGAGACGAAGAGGTACTCTAGGTAGGTTTTTCTCAGAAAGGAAGCCAAGCCGCCTGGCTGGCTAGCTACTTTCCAATCCAACGACCGACCAACCGACAGACCGATGATGATAATGATGATTCAGATCTGAGTGCCAACCAAATCTCTGGATGCGGGCATGAAGACTATGTATGCTGTAAGTGATCACGCTGATCTAGGTGCCGGGAAGATACACAAGTCCACACATACACACACACACACACACACACAGAACACACAAATATACACAAATTCCAGCGCCAACGCAGGTCATTATCATAATTCGTCACACGTGTATGTACATGTATATAGAAACAGATAAGAGAAGAATCCTATTTCCTGGCCTCCAGGAAGTATAGCTCAAGCAAGATGCTCGCCAGTTTCGGTACAGCCGAGGAAGTCAGTCTGCAATAGTGGTTTCTGTCAGACGGTCAGCATTCTCTCCAGACACACTTATACGTTCTACACCACACAGGAACAGATCAAATAAACAAGCACGAGAGAAGATCACGAGGGGAACTCACACGCCCATCTGCAAAATCTTCAGGACCCCCCTCAGCGGCCCAGGTTCCTCCTTCACACCTGCGAAGCCGGCAAACTGCCCAATGCCATCATCCCACTTCATGTCCGTGTTCTCGCCTCCCCCCGTCTCCGTCTCCTTGTGAGTCCGCCCATCGATCAGGCTCTTGAGGTAGCCCCCGATACCCGCAGCCAGACCCAGGTTGCGGACGGCACGCACCAGCCCGACGCCCGCCACCACGGGGATGCAGGCCAGCATGCCGGCTGTGACGGGGTGGCGCTTGCACCACCGGACCCACGCGCGGACCCAGCTCACCAGCTTCGCCCGCAGGCGCGCCATCAGCCCGGGCCGCGGCAAAGGGCGAGACGCATTGTAGGGCGTGGGAAGCGGGTTAGTGGGCGAGTAGTAGAGGGGCCGTGGGGAGAGTCTGATGGTCTTGGGCGGGGAGAAAGATCGTCGTCTGGACGGGGTCTGTTGTTGTTGTTGCGGGCGAGGTTTCTGGGATGACGGAGAAGTGGGACGGGTGTAGTACTTGTTGCTGTTGCTGCTGCCCGTATGGTTGTAGTTGGGTTGGCTGCCCTGTTGTGGGTATTCCTGGGAGTCGGCAGCAGCACGGTATTGATCATAATCTTGCTTGAGCGAGTGGGATCTCTGGGGAGGCAGGTATTCGTACTCGGGATGTTGAGGTGCATCGCGGTCCCAGTGGTTGGGCGATGAGGGCCGAGGTCGATCTGCTGCCTCTAGGAAGTACGTTTCGTGTGCTGGGCGATCCTGGTAGCTCGAGCGCTGGGAAGACTTGTTGTGCTTGTCCATCGGGGGGGAGCTGGAGCGAGGCGGCGTGGGATAATCGATGTAGCGGGATGCGGATGCCATTGTATGTGTGCGAGTATGTCAAACTCAGTAAAGAGCTCGCAATTCGGCCAGTCAGTCAGTCAGTCAGTCAGTCAATCAGTAAGTCAGTCAGGCCATTCAAGAGAGTATTTTTTTGGAGGATGTTGGAGCGAGGGTGGGATGGAAGGACGTCTGTTTAAGAAGCCGTTGGTGGTTGGGTATGCAAGGTATAATATTAAGACATTTTCCCAGCAGATCAACGGGCGGTGAAGATGGGGCCTGTCCCTGTGGAAGTAAGATACCTAGATGTACAGAGCCGCCAAAATAAAATAATGGGGTCTCCGTGGCTGGAAAAACGGCGGTGTACGGTATATACCGGTATACTACTATACTAGATGGCCGCTTGGGAAAGAAGATCTCTCGTAGAAGATCCGACGACACGGATCTCGAGTGGTAGGAATGCAGATGCAGATTGATTGCTTCTCTTCAGCCCAGCCATCATCACCACCAGTACCAACACCAATAACAAAGACAGAAACCCAACCCGGAACAGAGCAGGACAGTGTAAATGTAGGTATATCTGTCTGGATACGCAAACTTCTTGTCATGTACCGTACTACGTATATTACGCAGGAACTCAGACTTCGGTTTCAAGGGTCAGTCCGGATGCCAGCCTGCCAGGCCGAACAAGACCGGGCCCGCCATCCTCCTGCTCCGAGAGCTTGTGTTATGAGTTATATCCACCTCCTCCCGGCTTGATTGATTAATTGCTGCTTTCCATACTATCCCTCCTCGCTCTTAACAACACAGAGAATCGATGGATTTCGGAGCTGAGTTAACGCAACTTGTTTAACAACTTTGCGATCTCCACTTTTCGTTAACTCACTTAAATCGCGCAAACGGATGTCGGAGACTGAGTTATCGTATTAAAAGTGGGACTTGACGTCGCAACTTGAAGGGCTCTTCCCTAAAGTGGGCGAAATAATTGTGTCCCGCATCGCTTAAAAAATAAATAAGGAATCAAATATGTGTTTTTAAATCAAAATATTAATTATATAACATATGTTATGTATTTGTATACTATTGGATCTTAATCAAGCCAGAAAAAAAAAATATCGCGTGTCTTTTGAATTAAATTAACAGAAGTTACTGATTAAAGCTGCAGCGAATCCGATTTACTTTTCTCAACCTTTTATTCAAGCTCTTTTCGCTTTTCAAGTATTACTTTTATTGAAAGTAATGATGATGAAATATCGGTTCGCTTATAAATTTCGTCGTGACTCGTTATCATTAAGTTAGATATAAGTTAATAGGTTTTATTAAATTCGAAAGCGTTTTTTCTTTACAACGGCTTAAAAATCGATCGGCGACAAGGCCTTTGCGAATTTGGCAAGCTCTTTTTCTCACACGTTTTTTAACGCAGCTTCCTCGTTTACAATTGCGCCTCTTCCTTTGCAATTGCGTTTCGAAGAGAAAAGAAAAGAATAAGATCACTTTGTATTTCCTCTATGATAAGCTGCTTTTCGCGGATGCGATAGCAAAAAGGAAAACGTTCAAGGCCATGCAAGAAAGAGTGGGAGTTGTCTCAGCTCACCAATCAGACCGTCCGAACAACTGGTGACGGGCCCCAAGATGTCCCGGGAAATTTTGGAAAAGAAGTAATTGAAAGCATGTACGGATTGCCAAATTTCACAATAATACTGATCAGATGATAAGAGATACGATCGACGTTTGCATGCTGCAAACGCTCTGGTCCTGCTGGAATCGGTAGTGCAGAGTTAGTGCTGTGTTCGGCGTTGTGAGAGATGGCAATATTGATATTGACGATATTCACAACCGGGTTCTAGGACTACATGGAGATTAGTGACGAAGGAAGAGGTTCAGTCATCACTTGGAAGTCAGGCGAGGGCTAACCCGAGACTTTTTTTTTTCCGAATCAGAGCCCAGGTAGATAGGCAGCACAGCATAGTTATGGAAGCTGATCGATCAACACAAGCATGATGGTATATATAGAATCAAGAAGCGGACCTTGTACTCCGAGCAGACTCAGGCCCCCGGAATAAAAACTATACAAGTACCAGAAGCAGAAGGTATACAGCCCCCGTTACCTCCTCACATAATAGCCATTCGCTGCAAAGGGGGTATTCCTGACTCCATCCGCCGGACACCTAACGCCGAGCTTATGAAATGGTAACTTTGAAATCTGCTTTTGCGCACCCATCCTGATGAAATCCGCACTGCTACTTCCCGCCCGAGGTGTGACTCGAGGAACAGCCTCTGGGTTCCACGCAGGCCGATCGAGAATATTTTCTGCGAGCAGTATATCGTTCATCTCTGCAAGCATAGCTACCTCGGCGGCTTCATCGTCTCTCGCTTGAAGGCCTCGTTGTATTGCATCTCGCTGCATTACATCGTCTAGACGAATCAACCCCATAATTCGGATCTCAATGACCCGCCGATCAGAGGCCGCTTCGTCGTAATCGCGAGTGAGGCGGACAATCACGTCTTTCTTGCCCGGGACAGTAGTCGTGGGCAGAGCCGATATAACTGCTGGAAACCAGGTCTCGTCCTCGATTCGAGAGGACTTCCTCATCATTGGCTGTTTCACAAACCGTGCCCATCCAAGAAAGTACCCAGACAGGTGCTGGCCAATGTTGATCGGGATCCCAGTCAATACCATGCCTGGCATATTGAACTGCTCGGTGCCGATTGTTGCCGGCTCGCTATTAGCCATGAACCGAAGGGGGTACGGTGCCTGCGGGCCCTCTTCGATTGAAGGATCCCCTGTGCCGAAGGCCCAAGACAGTCCATCCAGGCTAACATTCCGGCCATCTGCAACCTGAGTGCCCATGTGATCCGAGGACTTCACAGCACCGAGAGCTAGCGATGTTGCTTGTTGAGTGACCCAGAGTGGCATGAACTTTTGGGCTCGATTCTGTACAACAGCAGCCACTGGACCCACAACTCTTCCCGCTGTATTCCGCGCATATTTCCCAAACGCTATTGCCCCGAGTTCGAGTGGGAGTGTACTCAAACTTGCTCCCCGAATCATACCTGGGCTAGTTGAGGAGGAGATGATCCTAAAGACAGGACTCGGGCAGAGAGTTTTATGCTTGTTGCCTAAGCAAAGCACGAATTGGAAGTACCCATCTTCGGCCTCCTCAGGGATTCTTACTATCGCCGTCTCTCGAAGGGTGTGGTACTGTTGCCTGCTGCTGTTCGCCTTCTTTCGAAAATGAGCTATATCGCGCTGCCAGGCTCGTTCATCGCTTGGTTTCAATTGTTCGCTTCCAACATTCAGCGACGGAGTGACATTGATCCAGTTCCCGTTCATTCCCATAAAAGCTCGAGCTCTCATTCCCGTCTTGCCGCTCCACCCTCTGCTCTGTAGCCATATTGTGCGTTCCGGGGGTAACGGGTCATCTGCGAATATGGATATGGCCAGCGTTGTCTCTGCACCTTGATAGAAAACCAAGCCATGGCTGTGTCGCAGGATTGAGAAGTGTTTCGTGCTTTCGACCGGATGCGTTATGAGACCACCCGCGAAATGGCGAGCTTCCCGGAAAGCGTCTTGGACGTAAGACAAGGCTGGCAACGGCAGTATCTTGGGGCTCGGGTTGAGAGAAACGTTGCTGGTAGCATGCCGGAGAGGGGCCGGGGCGTAGAGACTGTCTGAAGAGCAAGGCTTGCCGCTGGCAGGCTCTGCATATGAAGAGCTGCGGCATAGTTGCGCGTCAGCGCCATTTTCGCTTCTGCTTCCACTTCCACTTCCATACACGGCAGCGTTCAATGATACGTCACGGCGGGGTGAAGAGATGTTGACGGGCAATGGATGGGTCTGCAGGCCCGACTGCTTCAACTTTTCGAACTCTTCAAAGAAGACCGGCGGCGCAGCGTCGTCGTTCCTCGAGGGCGCCGTCTTGGGCCTTTCAGTATGGACTGGCTGTACTGGCTTTCGTGGCACCCGGAAATTCACCACGGTGTTGCTGGGGGGTTGGCTCGAATCGACCTCGCGATAGGGAGGAGGTGGTGCGGACCATTCCATGTTCACCCTGCTCTCTGGAGGTCTCTATCGATATAGACCTCGACCTCTGGAAAAAGTCGGAGGATGAGCAATTTCGGATGCCATTGCGAACGATGGCATCGCATGGGATGGGGCCTGGAAGTGTGGTTCAGAGTTCGAAGTCTGTGAGGTCTTGGATGTCACAGCTTTATACCTTAACTTCAGACTCGTGCACGGACGGATCTTATATTTAATCCAACGTCTCTTTCGGGGATCTTTACACAAATTAAATCTCTTTCATTTCACTTCAAATTATTTCGAAGAAAAATGCGCTCATACAAGATTATATTCTGTTCGAGGTCTGTTTACGATTCCGACCACGATGACCCGTACATAGAAGTCGGTCAGGCATCCCAAGTCACCTGCTGCTACTATGTCATTACTCAGAGCCATTGCCACCTGGACAATCATAGATTTCATATATCAGCTTTAATGTATGAGCATAGTTCCCATTCAGTGGTAGGCATGTGTCGTGGGAATCGATATTCGTAGACTGAAGAGCGGAGGGGATTCGCAGTATCCATAGCAGTATGATGATCTCTGGACATATAAGTCAAGCAGTATACGAAACCACCATCGATACACTCACTACCTGGCGCGAATGTCAATTAAACGCGACGAGCCGCATCATATAGCCGATCACTGGCGGCTCTGTTTCCCTACATACGATTCGATCAGTCTCGGTCAGGGTCTATGAGCTACTACATATCTTCCCCGCTGCTCGTAAGTCTCCAAACGACTTTTCGAATTTCGAAAGGTTGCATCGGACCATCGGTAACGTATATTTCAAACCCTGTCGACCGTTCGGCTCGTAATGGATTGCCGAGAATGGCGAAGCACAATGCTAACATTTGAATAGCTGCCAGCATTGGTGCTGATATTTATTTCCAAGGTATGGGATGGCTGAGCGGGAGTGCAGCGCTTACTGAGATGGTGACAACTACCGCTACTTCAGTTCCAGCTTGCAAACCGACGATCCTTATGCCTTCTTCTCTCAGCTGGTAAGCCGGTGTCTCTTTCCTGGTCGCAAGCCCAGCACCAACTCCCAGCGTCGGCCCTGCTCTTAGCACCTGACCAGTAGAGCCAACTACTGCCCTGATTTAATCTTTTTTACCCACGTCTGTAGCGGTAGTGATCCAGTCTATAGCGAGTACCCACCTACTCATTCTGTCGGTGGGGCTTCCTCGACCCTGTTATGGACAAAAGGTTCATATAGCTCGGACATGTTTGCTTTGTCGTGCAATTGGTGAGTCTGGAGCTATAAGCGCAGCGTATATTTGCTTATTTTTACATAAAATAGAATAGACGACGATTAATAGTGTTGATGGGAATGAAACCATATTTTCATATGGTCTGTTCGATCGTGAATCTCTAGGCTTTGGCCAATTCCAAAGTGATCTTGCAGTTTCTTCTGAATGAACACTATGCCGCCCGACTTCCCAAACCAGGCCCAGCTTTATACTGGATGCTAAAGCCCTTAAGCAGGAAATTCATTCGTGGCCGAGTTTGATGTAACACGAGCGTCGTTCCTAGCTTCATTCTCATTGGCCGCCCTCGTAGCCGAGTTCAGTGAAGGGGCATGTCAACAAACCTTTCCAGCATTTTTGACTTAATGGTCTTCCATTTCGGTATTAGCCGCAATCCACGGCTCTAAATCTACTCGTGTGAATTGCTGTTATGTATTATTACTATAATAAATTATAATAGGTGCAGTAGAATCAATAAATATCGACGTTGATCGTGTCGGTCACAACTTTCCAACACAGTTGCGATATACGAGAGCGTATATTACTTCCAACAATAGTAAGATAACATAGTAACTCATCTTGGGCCCTTGGAGAAAGTGACAGTTCCTGCCAATGACATAGGACAAGTTTGTACTATGTCGTTCTGTGAAATTCTCATAGCCCAAGCCAAAGTCGCTAACACATATGATGACTACATTTTCCGTTTGAACGTGAATCGGTTTCCAAATGTGAACAGTGAACAAGCAATGAAGTGGCACAAACCTACTTAATTCCCTCACTCGCCTTGAATTCCTAACTTCAGCCTCACATCATACCATTCTCATCCTCTCCTCCTTCCTCACATACCAAGGTCGGAACAGCCAGATCATCACCAAGCTCAAATCGCGCAAGCGGATCACTATATCAAGACAGTCTATTTCCTAATAAAACAAAGCATCCCACTCCAATCCTATAATCCAAATCCTCAATCTCAAATCTTCCCAAAAGAGCGCACCACACCAGACGTGACATATCGTGGCCTCACGGCCCTCAAAATCTCGCCGGCCAACCGACTCCCCCAGCTCTAGCCGAGGCGTCGCCGTCGCTACCTCACCGTCGCCCAAACGATTCCCCGATCCGCGCACACCCCCGCAAAACAATTTTTACCATCTACATATAACCATCCCGCACCCCTCCCGTCACCCATTGGGAGACAGCTACACACAGAAAGTTGGCTCGAGTAAACATCCTTAGATCGCAATTCCCAGCCTCGGCTGCTTATTGGGTTCCAAATAATTCCCAGGCCGTTGGCGCTTATTGGGTTGGTCGACGGGCTTCACACGCGGGCCTCTTTCCCCTCAGTGCTGTCTAATATTTTTTTTTGTCTCTTTTTCTTTTTCTTTTCACTGTTTTTGAAGTCCCTGGGGTAGGCTGGGAATTTTCACGTTGTTGAAATGTTTTTTGGATGTTTTTTCTCTTGGGGCATTCTTTTTGGGTTGGCCAGGTGTCGCGGTAGGAGGTGTTTGGTAAATATTTTTAAGCGAGCCGCGTCTAAGGTGAGCCCGCGAGGTTTTTCAGGACCGCGTATCAGGCATAGCTTTGATCGAGTTTATTCGGGGGGCCAGATTAAAATTCTGCATATGATAATATAATTTACAATGGGATATGTGCAGCCAGGCCCTCGTATCTTCTGCCTCCCCGGTCTTGATCTGTAGGACCCACTTTCCTCCAAAGTAAACAAGATATGCTACGGTAAGTTCAAAGTCAACGAAGAAGCCTGGGACAGTCAAATTAAGCCTCAAATTAAATACAAGCTTATATGGCCTTAATAATCCTAGCACGGTCGGTGTTCGATCGTTGCGTGTGTACCCGGTTCCGAAGTGACCCCCGAAAGTAAACAAAGCTAATCATATATGCAATGAGAAGTATTCAAACGCACAAGGCTCGAGTCAGCCTTGTGTATCTTTTGAGGTCAGCGGCCTCTCTGCGACATGCAACAAAAAGCCTGGTCACCCTTCGTAGATCTCAGCCTGGCGGGTTAACTACTTTCCGGGTGTACTAGCGTAGTAGCATCGTATATATCTCGCTCCCTCGCCCCCCCCCCTCGCCCCCGTAGTTCTTCTTCATCACAACACTGGACCTACATCAACCCTGCAACAACATCTCACATCGAGATCAAAAGAAAAATATGAGTTCCAGTACTGGTGCGTCACATCTTCCCTCAATTTCCGTATGGTTCGCGCGCGCGGTACTGATCCTTCAACAACTAGACAACACGGCGGACCGCCCTGAGGACCAGGACGAGGAGATGGCCTCCGAATCAGACACCGACCCATCCGGATCTGCGACAGCGGACAGCAAGAGCAAGTTCATTTTCGATCAGGTCGTCAAGGATATCTTGAAGGAGAACCCGGGAAGCGAGGGGGTGCTGGCGATTGGGGAGGAGGCTTTGAAGACCCTCGAGGAAGCTGCGGAGGATTTCTTGGTGGAGGAGTTCGAGGGTGGGCTCGAGACTTCTTTTCTCCCTGGAAGAAACTTGGGTACTGACGTGGGATAGCGGCGGGTAGCGTTGCTGCGAAGGATAATCAGCGCGTGACGGTTAGTGAGAAGGACATGCGAGCTGCGCGAGAGTTGAGAGAGAACGTTCAGGCTGGAGAGGGACCGAGCAAGCATGGCGACGGGAATGGCGCACAAGTATCGGCGAAGGGTGAGGGTGGGCTTGCTTGAGTCACGTACTGGGTGTAAGAGCTCTGGTTACGCTCATGGTCGTACCTTGGAGGTACAAGCTGCTCTAGACCAAGGAGATGTGAGGATCGGGCATTCGAGTCAATCATTATTTCTTCTAAGGCAATACCAATGATTTCAAACACTGCTCGTTCATGCGTTCCGACTATATTTTCCAATGCCTATTATCATGCAGAGCAATGTAAAAATGGAAAGTCGAGATATGGAACTATTTCAATCCACTTGAGCTATTCCCAATCTCGAAATCAACACCAACATTGCCACTGCCACTGCCTGCTAACTTACACCAATCTATCACCCCGAGAAACGCATATTCCGCTAATAACAGAAGGTGTGTAGCTCCTTAAATCCCAGCACACTTAGCACGTATTAACACCGAAAGGCAAGTAAGTCAGATAGACAAATCACCAAAACCAAAACCAGCACCAGCACCGGCACCGGCATCAGCACCGGCACCAGCACATCCTCAGCCGGCCCGACCTCAAAGCCCAAGAAAGCCACGTACAAAGCCATCAGCAGCAACTCCAAGCCGAGTCAGAAACCGAAGACCTCCCCTGAAAAATAGTGAGTAGACGCCCAGCCTATCCAAGAACAGCTTTGCCAACTTCAAGAGTATTCTACTTTGCTTTGGATTTTCCACTATAAGCACACGAGACTCACAGCCGCCGCAAGCAGCTCATGCTACCGCCCCCCCCCCCCCAGGCCTTCACAATCCTACCGAACGACCAAGCGCTAGCGAGAGCTGCTGAGCGCGAATCAAAGGAGACTACGACTACTAACTTCTACGTCCAAGAAATATATAAAGAAACCCGTAAGGGATGTAGCTGGTCCATTAACATTATCCGGCGAGGAGAAAGGGGGAAAGAAGGCTGCATTAGTTAGATAGCTCGAAGGCAAAATAAGAACTCATTCATTCGTTCATTCATTTCACACATAATAAAATGCCAGCCAGCCAGCCAGCCAAACCCCAGAAGTAGCGCGGCCGCGGCTGACAAACAGAGCGTACTCTTTGCATCTATCCATCTCGCCAGCGCGAAAACCACATCTCAGCAACTCACAAATTACAATCGACAAGTCGTAAGAAGGTCCAGCAAGAGAAAAGGATACCGATCTCTACCAAGCTTCAAAGGGCCTGCGAACAGGTTAACGTTGAAGAGACAGAGAAGAGGGACAGACAGATGCACGGTTAGAGACAGACAAACAGACAGCTCTTAGATACAAGCACTCACGCACGAAACCACCCATTCACCCGCCCGCCTACTTCTCAATACAACCAGATCAAAACCAACCTTCTATTTCATCTAGCTATCAAGATCTAATCTAATTAAATCAAATCAGTTTTAAACAAGTCGCCGTCGTCCGGACCAGGGATACGATTTCTTCTTTCTTCTGTCTCCTTTCGCAATTAGCCTTGTTTCAAATACCAATACCAAGCTATCCGATACCACATGTATATTTACACCGCTGAATTAGGCATCAGGACGAATAGGAGTATCTCCCGTCGCTGATTAGATTTCAAACAAGCACAAGCACAAGCACAAGCACAACAAGCACAGCAAAAACAGAACAGGAAGGTACTCTGGGAAAGCAGACCTGCAATGCACACTGCCGTTTCCAGTTTCTAGTATCATAACCCATAACCCTAACCCGCATAACACACCCCCTACGTAAAGCAAGCCCGTTAAGGCGCTCTACCAACAGCGTTACACCTATCAAGTAAGTCGACGTAAAATAGCAAGCAGCCTACCTAATCCCCAAGCGAGCTCAGAAGTGCACCTACCACAGTAACGTACACTTACATCTGCAACTGCGTGTAAGCAGTCTATAGAAACTCCATCACATGAGATCTAATCCCGCTTTATACCATTGTTAAAAAGATTCTTGCCGCCCTTTACCCCCCCGCACCTTTTAACTAACCAAATTCCAATTACCCAGTCGTCCTATCCGCTTAAAAAAAAACCTCAAATGCATTTCTACTTACTTACTTACTTCCTTCCTACTAACCTGAAGCCACATCCCCCCCTGTCTCTAAGTACTGTAAGTATTGCAATACCGGTACGGCACAAAGCTCCGCAAGCTCGCTTTGCTTACCTACCTACAGTACGTACCACGCACGCAGCGGCTACCATCTCCCATCGCCCATCGCCCATCGCCCATCGCACAGCAGCACCGCTTGCCCAACAGCCCTTCCGCTCTAACGCCAGGATCCCGCTGCCATCTCCATACCTACCTACCTACCTACCACCTACCTACCACTCGTATATCAAGCCAGCCAGCGATGCCAATATTGATTGATGATCATCGCCGCCGGCCCCGACGAAGCAAATACCTATCGCAGCGACTGTAATCCTGCTGACCAACCACCACACAGCCACCAGGTACCGCACCGGGAGATGATATGATTACCTAGGTAGCTCTAGCTCTAGCTCTAGCTCTAGCTCTAGCTCCAGCGCAATTCCGCACATGAGATGGCCTACGGTACCGGGTACCGGTACAGAGATTCATATGATTATTATTGGAAGCCGGACTGTGACACCAAGCTTTTCGGGGCGTGTGACGTTGCATCTCTCATACAGTAGCGGGGAGCCGTGGGTCGGAGGAATCCTTTTTCGGACGTGACTGGGGCGTCCGTCTTGTGAGAAGAAATCTGGGCTCGGGAAAGGAGACCTGATATCGGAGGAGAGGGTTTGCGATGCCGTGCCGGTGGATCAAAGGAGGGGGGGGGGGGGGGGGTTTTCTTACCGGGACTAACAGAGGTAGGCTTGGGTAGATCGAGATTGCTATCCGCGCAGCTGACATGGCGGTTTTCGGTTAGGAAAACTTTCCTACCTACACTGCACACACGAAACTGGCTTGGATGACGACAGCAGGTGATCGATCGGGCCAAATCAGCTATCGGAGCAGATGTGGCTCTTAACTACTGGTATTGTGCAGAAGCAGACCCTGCAAAATGCACACTGCAGCTTCTACTTAGCATCATAACTCCGATCCCGCACGACAGAAGGGGCAAAGGCAAGCACATCCAGAAAAAAGTCACGGAAAGACAACTTTTATTTTGATTTCTTCTATTTAAACCAAGGATCAAGGAAGTCTATATGTCTAGAGAAACGTCTACCGACGAAGCCCCCCCAAAAGAAAGAACGCCTCCGAGTCCCCCAACCCATCTATCCCAAGCCGTACGAGAGGAAGGAGAAGACCAGCGCCACGTTTCCAGTGCTTCCAGTGCATCTTAAATCGTTGAAAATCGCAGCACGCAAGCGGCGCAGACGTCATGTCATCGAACTCAGATGGCACCCGGGCAGGCCGGCAGGCACCTTTTCCATTTTTCCTCCTCCTCCTCCTCCCCCTCCTCCCCGTCCTCCTTCCCCACCAGTGGAAGGAACACGTGGGAGAGTATTACTCAGTGGGAGACCCGGCCGCGGGAAAAGCCCCGCTTCCGCTCATCATCGACGTTGCCGATGAGGCAGACAAGCGCCGACTCGGGGGTACTCAAGGTACGCACATCATCCCACTTGTTGTACGCGTTATCGCACGGGAATGTCTGGCAGCCCGAGAGCGGCGTGGGCGAGAGGAGGGGGAAGAGCATCTTGACGCCCTCGTCGTCTTCCGGGTTGACGATGGCCGAGACGTCAAAGTACGTCTGGCCGGCGAAGCCGTCGAAGCGCACCTCGCCGAGCATGCCCGGCACGTTGTCCTCGTCCTCGGACACCGAGTAGAAGTTGCCGACCCAGGCCTCGGGGAAGTCCTGCTCGACGGTCTCGAGGCCGGCGATCTCGAGCTCGTCGATCTCCTCGCCGCCTTCGTTGGGGGTGAAGTAGATGGTGCGATCGGTGTCGTCCTGGTTGACGAAGTGGATGGTACCGGCGGAGATGAGGTTGGTGAGGAGGCCGGTGAGAGCCAGGAGGACGTAAGGGACGTTGAGTTGCATCTTGACGTCGGACCGAAGGTGATCGGACGGAAGGTGGAGAGAAGGTGGAAGGAAGGTAGTTGTGATAGAGGGTTGGTTCTACCAAGTTGGTCGATCGGACAAGCTGGCGAGCGCTTGAGTCTCGGATCGATGATGGATTGGAAGGCGTCGTCGAGGCTCTTGCAGTGTTGAGACGAGGCGTTCTGGTGCGGAACAGGATTATGATCACAGGTCAGCGAGTGTTGTGGGGTGTGTGATTGAAAGAGTGCGGAACGTCTGTGGTTGCGTTGCAAGAGTGTCGACGAGCCTGAATGATTGTAGATGGAGAAGTGAAGAGAAGACGAAGGGGGGGGGGGGGATGGGCTGTTAAATAGATATCTGAGGCCAGCCAGGGACGGGTTCAAGCTTTCCCTCTGCCCTCTGCCCTCTGCCTTCTACCTTCTGTTTTCTTCGACCTGTTGCATGCCAGCAAATGGCAAGCGCGAGAAGGCATGGATGAATGCCATCACAGAATCCAGAACGTCCAAGGTCCGTTCTAGGCATGTCTCCCCAGCTCCACTATGACCATGACATTGTTCTCCGGCTGGCTCTGGAAACCCGAGTTGTGCAGCGCCAGTGGAGGCAAGCCACGTAAGGTTGATGCAGCCCTACACATCCTCAGGGGTCCATTCGGCTCGGTTCCTGATTGTCGACTTCTTTTTTTATTTTGGTTTTTTTTATCTGCGTCACGACGAGCGGGATGGTAGTCGCGACCGGGCCCTGATTGGCCGGCCAGGACGGTTGGTACCTGAGAGGTCTCAGCGCGCGCCGTCAGTGCAGAGCTTCTATGATTCTTTAGCGGGGAAGGTTCACTGACTGACTGACTGACTGACTGACTGACTGACTGACTGACTGACTCTGTCGAGATCGGCAGAGGCTCGAGCCAGCAGCCAGACTGGGACTTGGGAGCGGGAGATGTTCCCGGAGAGTCAAAGTACGCTGATGTTCCGCAGCGTCCAAGGACGCTGCTAAGGTCAAGTGCGCAATGCACGAAGAGACCAGACCAGACCGGACGAAATGCACGCAATCGGATCGACGAGGGGAAGGGAGAAAGTCAACCACCAATTGTGCGGACCGAGATATAGATAGGTCATCAGCAGGAGAGCCGAGAGTGTGTTTTTTTTGGTTACTAGCTAAGCGAAGCATCTTAGGTACGTAAAGAAAATGAATGGCCAGCCCGGTGGAAATTCTTCGGGTCCACACAGCACACCTCCTTCCTCGCTATGATTCGGCTGCGCATGCATGCGATGCGCGAGAGAAAATTCAGATGCGTGGAAATGCATGGAAATGCAGGGGAAAGTGCAGTCGGAAGCTGCTTTGCCAGTGTGAAGCGGGAAGTATCAGGTGTCAAGCCGAGTCTGAAGTGAGAAGCGTAAAGTGTCAAGTGTCAGGCGTCAAGTCTGATCTGAAATATCACGTCTGAAGTCCGCAATGTGACATCTGAAGTCTGACTTCGGAAATCTGACGTCTGACGTCTGAAAATCCGAAATCTGAAAGCAGAACGGCCGTGCCAATGCGTCTGTTCGTGTGTCTAAGCATCATCTGCCGAGGAGGCGGTTCTACTGTAGTTCGTCCCACCATTTTCTTCCCGACGGGCCGCCAGGAACAGGAACAGGCACAGGAACAGGAACAGGAACAGGGACCCGGACCGGGATCGGCGCCGAGCTGATCGGTCGAAAGTCCCTTATTTCCCTTATTCGTAGCCCCCCACCTTCTCGGCTTCACTTGACCACTTGGTCGGCTGGCCGGGGCTGGCCTGGGCTGGACTGGATTCGGCAGTTCTGCCGTAGCTCGTTAGCTAAGCAAGCAAGCGATGATGCGCCATTTTTCACAAAGGGAAAAATATTGCTTGCACCCGACTATTGAATACATCGAACTACATTAGATAATTTAGGGGATAGAATGATCAACGTAGTTTTACGTATTTTCAGCAACAGGAGGGGTGAGGGACGTGAGTTGGAAGAATCGAGGTCACGTGCTAGATGAAAGCGGGCCTGGCCGGTATGGCACGTGAATTGGAGTGGATCTATCCGGCCTGAGGCCTGCGGCTCGACCAATTGTTGATTATATAATATTTGTTGAGGAAAGATTCCATGTCACACGCAGGTCTTGGTATTCATGGCCTGCACCATTTTGACACTGTACGGAGGGAAAGAAGGTACGAAGTACTACGTAGGTACAGGCCTCACATCTTCTCTGACCGCCTTCGATAGGTCTACATAGCATAGCGGGCAGTACTTTCTGCCCGTGAGTCTGGTGAGATAGGTGTACCCAGCCTAGGGCGGTCAGACAAGAGGGGAGGGCCGGTAACCTCCGTACTCGGCACGTACAGCTACCACTCAACTACATTCCATCCCACGGAGCATCATAGTTTCCCCCCATATACGGATGCATACCCCCACCATCCCCGGTCGGTTCCGTGTGGAGGAGAATATGATGATGATCATGATGATGATAGTGATCCAAGGTGCAAGGTGGGAGGACGGACGTGCTGTGCAGTACTGAACTATCGAGCAAAGCAATCACCTGTATGGCATAAAGGGCTCTTGATGATGATCACGATAATGGTCATGATCATGATTATGATCTTGGTCGTACTTCGTAATCATAACCATTGCCCAAATGACCTGAGGAGCAGACTGATTGCACTTTCCGTCCGGGCCCTGAGGGTCAATATCAAACGGAGAAACGCTCGATGCTACTTAGAGATGTACGCTCCTCCCCCTCCCTCCGCAACCCCCTACTTGCATGAAAAGGACGGCGAAAATTACCATCTCCATCTCCATCTCCGACAATATAACCGAGTCGTGTATTCGAGTCGCAGAAGCCCCCCGTGGAATACCAGATGGAAGTCTACAGACGTATGAGATTCCAGCACTTCAGCTCAAGTCAGTAATAACCCCTGCCTTTGCACCCGCAGACTCGTCTCCGACTCTCCATACTCCCAAATATACTGGATCTGTGCGTACGGCATCTTGTGGTCGTTCTCAAAGTCATTGCCGATCCATCTATAGCTGCTGACTTATACCTCATCCGCTTCAACAGGACATTTTGTGCCGCCGTGCAGGAGCCCAGATACCTCTTCCGAAGCAGCATGCCTTACGCTTGAATCGTCATGGAAGTGGCAGAGCAGACCTTCCACGCACCATCTTCTGCATCGATAACACTTCGCTTAATGTCGGAATTATCTTCGAGATACACCTGGTCTAGCTCGATTTCCCAGATTAGCTGTAGCCTGCTGGGTAAGTTGAACACGCTGCCGGCTCCTCCTGTGTACAGATTTACGATCCTCAATCCTGTGAGACAGAAACATCCTCGCGCTTGGCTTCGGAATCATCTCCTCGAACTAAACCCAGCACGTGTCTTCATCGCCTCCTAGGCTTTCACGGAAGTGTGAAAGTTCACACGCTGTCTGTCCCTCCTCAACCTCGCAAACGAGTTCGTGAGCAAGCCATTGCGGAAACACCCACATATCTTGGCCTTCACTGTCTGCACATCGAGAGCAAGTTTCAGACGAAGGAAGAGGGAGAATCTCGAAGAGCATCTAGATTCGTCTGTAAGTACTCTAGGTTCGGCGAGTAGAATAGCTAGTCGCAGTTCCCCGTCATTTCGCAGCGGACACTCATAGAATAACAAACTCTTCAATCTGGTAGGCGCAAGCAGCTCGGTGACAGCAACAACCTCCCTCGGACGGATGCGCCCTTGGCACCTGCCCTCTTGCGTTCCGGCGGCGATGACGCGGGATTCGCATATATATATATACGTACATATATACATGCATACATATATATATATACACATCGTAACCTATCGAGTCCTTCGTTTAACATGCAGACACGCTCCTCCATCTCCATCCTCGACACCGTGCGCCTCCTGCTCGTAGGATTGATTCCCTGAGGTATTCCAGGCCTGTCCCATGCCAGCTCGAGGTTGAAAGGACGCCGCATCTCGGGCGCGAGGCTGTCCGCTCTGCTGATGGAGGGCAGATATCGCCTCAGGCTCGCAGTCGCAGTCGTAGTCTGGGAAAGGGGATTCGGCGGCAGGTTTTCACATCGAAAAGGTCTGGTGTGGATATCATGGATACGTACAGTACATAAAGAAGAATGGTGCACAAGCAGACTCTGTCATGCGTATTGCCGTTTCTGGTCTTGTTACCCTGCCGTATACCGCACGATGTTAAGGGGTAGTAAGCGAAGGAGGGGGAGAGGGGGAGAGGGAGGTTCGTAGCGTGCGTATGTACGTTGGTGTATATTCTGATAGTGTTAGTGATAACGATAGTGTGATGTGATGTGATGTGATGTGATGTGATGTGATGTGATGCTTTACCCAAGGAGGGATATCCACCCGTTCGTTCTGTGTAGAGAGCTGTGCACGCGAACTAGCAGCGTGATAATACCGGTAGACAGGATGAAATGAGCGTGAGAAAAGAACAAAAAAAAAAAGAAAGAAAGAAAGAGAAACAAAAAAGAGCTGGATCTTTACTCTAGTATACATCTAACCCGTACGCCATCCGTCCTTGACGCTGTAACATCTTCAAGATAACATCGTAAAGATCGCGCCGCTCGCACTCACTCTCCTTCATCTCATCGCATCCCATCCCCTCACCACCGGTCCGGTCTACACAGCAGCAGCAGCAGCAATCGCGAACCAAGCTCTAGCTAGCTAGAACACGTGCGCGTACACGCCTCCACAAGGTACCGGTAGTAACCAAGTAAGGGAGGGACTCATCCCCTCTCGCTCCTCCTCCCTCGCACCACCATCAAACCAATCTCCAATCTCCCCCTCCCTCGAGCGAGGACCGGTATCCAACTTTCAATCAAGCCAGACCTCCAGAGCTCTTATTAAGCGCGGCTTATAATATCTTAATTATTTAATACGAAATTTTCAATTTACTTATAACGACTTGATTTTTATTGCATTCGATTCTTAAGATACGGTTTCCTTAAGAATCCGCTAAAACCAAATCAATAGCTCGTTGCGCT